AATCATCGCTGGAGCCACCTCCAAGCCCACATTTTGATCATCATTTTGGTTCCTACCTGAGCGTCCTTCCTCCCAGCTCACACACCGCACTTGGGACTTCACACAACGAACAGCACTTCAGCCGCCGCAATGCCTGCCGCCAACCCAGTCCTAATCCAAGACTTCCCGCGCTCTCGCAGCGAGCCGCCACCGATTTTCCTCATCCACGATGCGAGCGGTCTGTTGACAAGCTATTTCAAAGTCGGCACTCTGGGCCGGAAGGTTTATGGTATCTGGGATCCAAAGTTCGACGCCGATGGTATCGGTGGATGGCAAAGCGTTCGGGACATCGCTGAAGCGTATGTCCGCCTAATCAAGCGGGTAATGCTGAGGGGCGAGATTGTACTCGGTGGTATGTGGATGCCAGCAACGTACCGAGCCATATTCTGACCCCAATACTTCTCAGGCTGGTCTTTTGGAGGCGTCCTGTCCGTTCAGATTGCCCACATGTTGGCTACATCAGGTCGCGGCCTTCGCGTATCACGAATTATCCTCATCGACTCAGTCTACCCAAGATGCCCACGTCCCGAAGCCCAAAAAGAGCCCGCGAAACTCCACCACGCGCCAGCCCTGCCTGGCGTCAATGAAGAGACTCGTGACAAGTTGATGACAGCGCTAATGAGAGCGACATGTCTCTCCGATCAGTGGGATCCTCCGGCGTGGTCCATGCCGAGGACGGGAGTCCTTGGAACGGCGCGTTCATACGGCGTTGACCCGACGCCACCGCACGCAATATTGATCAGAGCGAAGGACATGGTGCCGATGGCTGATCCTGGCGAGAAGTGTCCGCTCGATCGAACTAGGTTTCTGCCGCAGCTTGGTTGGGAGGACATGCAGGAGGGCTTCGTGGAGCAGGTCATTGAGACGGCCGGAAATCACTACAGCATTTTCGATCAGGAATATGTAAGTTACACAAATTTCCTCGTTGACGAATCTGTTTATTGACCAGTTCGCTCTCAGATCGATGGTATCACGGCACACATCAGGAAAAGCTTAGACATGGCGTTGGACTAGATTCGCAGAAACCGGGTACGACGTTGAACATGCTCCCATAGGCCTCTGCAAGAATAATTGTTTCACGTATCAATAAATAGACGTTGATGACAATTGAGTATTCTCCGTAAATCCTCGATGCAAGCTCCTGCGGAAAGTGTCGATGCTCATCAAATACTAATGTGAATACTGTCTACGTAACGCTGAATACTCTGATGTAACTACGTCTTAACCCGCAATGCTGTGAGATAGGGCAAAATAATGCGTGTCTAGTGGTCGTTTTACGGCAAAATCTGCTCGTACCGGTCCTTCTCATCGTCCGGTGCCACGTTCTTCCACTGCACTGCCCGGACTGGATCGTGAGCCCACTCCCTCAGGGCGAAGAAATCACGGCAATGCGACTTCTGATCGTCCGTTGTATGACCAACTCCCATTCCATGCACGTATGATATCGGTGTTGCGTCAGCCAGGCAGGTCACGGCTGACCGGACCGTGTTCAGGCAGTGGATAACATGCCCAGGCTCCCACTTAGACGTCTTGTTGAGAACTCGGTAGCCAATGTCTTCGAAGATGATAGACTGAAATGCAGTCAGTACCCATGTATTTACGGTTCCTCTGTATCTAGACTTACAACGCAGTGCATTTGATGGAAGGCTCTGATGCTGTACAACTCGGACCCTTTTCTGGTAACATACGCCGGCAGCGGCTGCCTTTCGTCGTTGAAATCCATGTAAGTCGTGTACTTACCATTGATCCGCACATTTGAAGCTGCCAGGATAATCGTCAGTAAACAACGCTTTCGCAAATTGTGCGGCTCTAGCCTGCGTTACCGTTATGCAGCATCTTGAAATCTCTGGCTGCAGCTTGCACTTTCTCAATGCTGTCGAATACATCGGGCGGGAAAAAGTGCGGATCGGTATCGTCGTCGTACTTCATCCATTTTACAGGCTGTCCGACCTCTGTTCCATTCGCTAATCAGCAGCTGGCATATGCTCGAATTCGCCTGCAGAATTCATACCTGGGGGAACGAATCCACTAGGATCAACACCAAGTGGAACACCGCGTTGTTTTGGCCACACCAATTGAAGCCCCAGGAACGACACCAAGCCGAAAAGCATGGCGATGATCACGCCCTCGACCCATACAATCTTCTGAACCCGGCGTAGCCGCTGATCCCAAAGCATCCGGTCGTGATTCCATTCATCGGGAAAAGTGGGCGAGTGTCCATGGCCGTCCTGGCCTTCCAGCTCCATACCGTCGAGACTGCCAAGCTCATCGTCGGCATCTGCCTCGTCGAGAGCGCTGTACTTCATCCGCTCCATGTCTTTGGCAAACTTCACGCTCTTGCTCTTACCCATGGTGACTAATCAATCGTCTGGTCAACAATGCGTTCAACGGATAAAGTGATGATAGTGGCTGCGCGAGCCCAGATGACAGGTACTGCACCACCACAACCGCCGAGACTTCGACTGACACCTGCAAGCGATTGCTGTCGTGACCCTCAGCAGCGGACCGAAGGGGCAAGGTTTATGCTGTTGTTTCAATCGCAGCCAGGTACCCACAGCGGACCGAAGACACCCATGGCGACCGCTTTAGGAGCTCCGAGTCAGTCCACCGCCAGACAGCTAGCTCCCCTCCCTGGAACCAAAGAGTACAGCTCGTTCAGCGCCCTCGATGGTTCCGTACACTGGTATTGCATCGATCTTCCACTGGTGATAGCAGCATTGTGTATCGCCACGGAAGAAACTAACACTGCGAACACGACGTCCTTTCAACAAGCTTCTGGAACAGCAACCCATCCGCAATGGATGCAAAGAAAGATGAAGTGACATGGAGGTCACTCCCACGAAAAGATCAACTGGCGATTTTGTGCTTTTTACGGTTTGCCGAGCCGGTTGTTAGCATTTCATTGCTTGTACGTGATGTCCCGGCGGCACAGTGACGGGGCCTGTGAAACGATTATGCTGACTTGACCGTGACAGACATATCTTTTCTACCAGCTTCAATCATTGGACCCTAATCTGGACTCGGGCGCAGTCGTTCGACAAGTTGCGTACATGCAAACGAGCTTCATGCTCTCGCAATGCTTCTCATCGATGTTCCTCGGAAGACTGGCAGATTCCCCCCGAGGAGGACGAAAGCCGGTGCTTCTTTTGGGAGTGGCTGGATCACTGATCGGCTGCGTTTCATTTGGCTTCATCACTAATTTCAAGCAAGCGCTTGCCCTACGCATTCTCGAAGGCCTCGTCAACGGCAATGTCGCAACCATAAGGACCATGGTCTCGGAGGTCGTAGCTGAAAAGAGGTGCGTGCTCTTCATCGATGGTCCTCCAGAGAGACGCCCCAAGAAGAAAATTCTAAGAAGAAAACCAGATACCAGCCGCATGCCTTCTTGCTGCTTCCAATCTCGTTCAACGTCGCGGCGATGTTCAGTCCCCTGATGGCCGGACAGTTAGCGGACCTCGCGGGAAAATACCCTGAAAAGTTCGGGAACAACGCTTTCCTGAAGGCTTGGCCTTACGCACCACCCGCACTGTTGAGCGGGTTTTTCCTTCTGATTGCGTTCGGCGCTGTCTTCTTTTTCCTGGAAGAGGTAAGTGACCCTGGACTCATTTCATTCAGCCCCGTGGCTAACTGTTTGGCTCTGCTGTAGACTCTCGAGCCGCTCAAAGATCGCTACGACCCAGGCATTGCTTTCGCGAGAAAGGTCAGCGCAATGATATTTGGAAGAAAGATTCCATCAGCGAGCAGAGTCGCCCAGGAGGAGGCTTCGCACGAGGAAATGTCCCGCATGATCACCGACGATGCAGAGGCGGCTGAGGAGAGGGACTCGGAAGAGCACCCTGAATCGCTGAAGCCCGCCAAACCCCAGCGAATTCTTCCACTGAAGCGGATGTTCACCAGGAACATGTGTCTGACGCTCGTGTCATACGCAATCCAGGAGTACCACATCACGACCTACAACACTCTGTGGACGAGCTTTCTTAGCGACCCGGTTGACACAAAGAACCAAGCTCGATTGCCGTTCTTCTTCTCAGGCGGCGCTGGAATGAAGCCTGATCGCATCATGTGGTCTCTATTCATCGTGGGAGTGATGGGACTTCCGACGCAACTATTCATCTACCCGCGCATCAACCGCCGCTTGGGGACACTGAAAATGTGGCGGACCTTAATGATGGGCATGCCTGTGCTTTACTTCATCATCCCGTACATCGCAGCCGCGCCGTCTACTAAGGCTCCACCGGCAGGTAAAGAAGGCTTTTGGGTCTGGTTCCTCATTGTCTTGGCCCAAGTTCTCATGGTCGGAACTTCGACGTTTGTTGTTCCCGCACAGCTGGTGTTGACAAATCTGTAAGTTCCACCACACCACCGAAATGATTGGTGTCTAAACGAATGCTAATCACAGTCAGGTCCTCGCCCCATCCATCCGCCCTAGCACGAACACACAGCAGCGCCTTTCTTCTCACGGGCTTGGTGAGGTCAGCGACATCTTCAATTGCTGGCGTTGTATATAGTTATGGATCCTCGCACAACATCACAGGCCTTGTTTGGTGGATTGCTAGCGCAGTAGCTGCAGTGGGATGCCTGAACAGCAGGATTGTTAAGGAAGGAAACGGCCATGAAATCTGGCTTACGGGTGATGCTGAGTAGCTCTGTCCACCCTGCAAACCGTTTCAATAAGATAACAGGCTAGACCAGACTTTGACAAACGGGCGAATAGAAGTGGAGAGATCAACGGATGCTATGCACAAAATGCAAATGGTCATTTTCCGCTCTTGCATTGATGTGGTCACCACATTGTGCTCAGAGGTGTGCATCGCGTCGGGTTCAACGATGTAAAGGAGTGACAGTTTCTACAATAGATCAAACGAAAGACTATCCTTTTGACGTACAGTGCAGTTCATCTTATTTCGCCCCAAACAAGACAGGAGATGTTCTCAATTTGAACTCCGCCAAATGTCAGGCCTTCAGTCCATGTCTTCCTCAGTCATGAAGCCACGTTTCTCCATCTCGTCGGTAACGAAGCTTCGCTTGTCCTCGGTGACGAAAGATCGCTTGTCCTCGGTAACAAAGCCTCTCTTCTCGGGCTCCGTGACAAAGCTACGCTTGTCTTCGGTGACGAAGCCCCTCTTCTCGGGTTCAGTAACAAAACCCCTCTTCTCAGTAATGAAGGACCTCTTCTCCGGTTCAGTGACGAAGCCGCGCTCCGTGATGAACGATCTCTTTTCCGGCTCAGTCACAAACCCCCGCTTCTCCTCCGTCACGAATCCTCTCTTCTCGGGCTCTGTAACAAAAGACCGCTTCTCTTCAGTCACAAAAGCCCTCTTCTCCGGCTCAGTGACAAAGGAGCGCTTGTCCTCCGTCACAAACCCTCGTTTATCAGGCTCGGTGATGAAAGAGCGCTTGTCCTCGGTGACAAAGCCTCTCTTCTCGGGCTCCGTTACAAAGCTCCTCTTACCCTCGGTGACAAAAGATCGAGGATCTGACTCAACTATCAGTACTGTGCTGCCTTGAATGCATGAAGTCCCGGGGAAAGGCGTGGACATACCAAGGTCATCGGTCACAAAACCACGCTTTTCGTCTCGCTGGATTGCTGGAGCAGCAAAGGAGGCAGCCACCAAGCTGACGATGGAAATGATGGTTGAGACTCTCATATTATGCACTGAAGAGATTGCTGTGTTTCAATTTGTTATGTTGTTGTTGAGTATTCTGATACGATTGCACTACGCGACATGCCCTTATAGAATGGTTCGGCCACATGTGTTCATATATCTTGTCGGCATCTGATACCTCGCCAACCGTATTTGCCGAACCACAAGTTTGCTACGTCAATAGACATAGAATTAGTGATTCCGCCGTAATGGATTGGTCACCTTCACCGGAGCTTCCCGATATTTTACTAAGGTTCCACCCGCATAGTAGAGTCGGTGTATTTCGAAGTTCCCGTAGCATCGTAACTTCAACAAGCATGTTACACATTTGTCATACAAACGAGGCCTTTTGCTTGGTTCCGTTCAGTATGGTACAGAGCTATCGAACGAACGTAGATTATCTAGACGCCGGGGAGGCTGCCTACATCCGCATACTGAAACCTAATTTTGGCGTGTGGGATGACGGAAGTCAAAATTGAGGCAGGCGGGATGCTTTACAGCTTGGATTAAACTCCCGCGCGAGGCATATTTCCAAACACATCAAGGTTGATTCGTGTAACGCGAATGGTGAGTGGACAATACAATTTCGGTTTCGGCACGGTGAACGTGAAGCTGAGGCTCATAATCATGTGTCTACTTGTGCCCAAACTATTGGTTTCTTCGTAATAGGAGCTGATCACTACTCACCACCCCATACTCTAGCATGGCACAATTGACTTGGGTCTCGGGCATCATACGACCTGATGGCCTATGCCTATTTAGGAAATTGTTGTGAACCCGCAACTTAATAATAGTTCACACCCTACATACACCTCGTAAAGAGATCGCGCCTGAACTTCCTGATGAAGAAACAGTTCTCATACAATGATTTCCACATGCTGTATAGTTACCAGTTCCTGTGATCGAACTCCTTGTTGGACCCATGGAGATGCGAATGCTCGTGGACATCAGCAAGCTTCTCGCCTTGATCGGATCCTTTCTTGGCCCCTGGCCTGAGGTCAAACTGGTGAACCGATATATCGCTTGGTGGCCTGCAAGAAGTGAATCGCGGCCAATAAGGGATGCTGACGTGTTCCTTCGGTCTCGCATAGTCTTGCATCAGTGCGTGGTCGAGGCACTGGTGGTAGTCGATGGTTCCAGACACAAGCCCGTGGACAATCTTCACCTCCTTTTTCCAGATGAATGCGCAAGAGTAGAGATGGAACTCCCACGTCGTCCATACCTGTGCGCTTCTTCCCGTTTCCACGTCAGTCCATGATAGCTGCTCGGTCGCATTGCGATTCGTGAAGAAGATCCACGATTTAACGGAGCGAAACTCCGCATCCAGGGCGGCGTCGAAACAGTTGGGGGGGTTGCCATGTAGCCGTGTAGGATTCAAACTTGCATCCTCGAGATTTTGCCGTGGAGCTGTCTCTGCCACAGGGCCATTGGTCTGCCATCAGACCGGTCACAAGGCCCAGGCCCTTTGTTTGCCCAAGGGTGACGTCTTCGATTTGGGCTGATGGATCAGTTGCCAGAATGAGGCTGATGAGAACAAAGGTTGCGGACCCTATGAAAAAGAGAAGTACCTTGACGCACAGCGGGAGGGCGGTGCTCCGAGGCATCGTCGGGCTGGGAATGTCGTTACGGTTGGCCATGCTATGGTGCAGTCAACACAGAGAAAGAACAAAAGCTATAGTAGCGTAGATAGATTCATCAAAAGGATAACGAAAGCAGTGTGCAAGTTAATGTAATCCTTGTAGAATGAAACTAAGCGCCAGCCTTCCCCTCGACTAAAACACCTACAGCGAACCTTCCCACCGCACGACGCACTCGGAGCTCAACGCTCTCGCATCTACACTTGTAATAGACATAGCCTCGGTGTGGGATACCGACTCTCAAACTTTAGTGTGCTGTAGTCTATTGCTAACGATGATGTCAGTCATATGAGCAGCAAATAATCTGCCATGGGAATCTTCGAAGCCGTTGCGGGGTTGCACCTGTGCCAGAGCCACAACATGCAACAAGGATCATGGGACTCGGGATATAAGCAGTAATATGACAAGCTTTCTTGGTTATGCTTCCCGCGACGGGAGCTAATTCGAGCACATGCCGCGCTCAAACTACAAGGTTATGGCAATCAATCAACTTACGAAGTATCGAGAACGAGCCCGCGCGGGGACGGTGTGTATATCGGATTTCCTCTCCGAATGAGCGATCCATGTTCAACTCTCTAGACTTAGAGAGCACGCTATCATACACGTCGAATCCGAAGGCGAATACCGCATCTCCTCGTTTTGACTGATTCATCTCCATCACCACCAGAGCAATGTCTCACAAATCTCACCACACGGACGAAGGGTCGGAAGAGCGACTGCTATCCTCGAGGGGCAGTAGCCACGACGACGAGATACTTGAGGAATTGGCAGCACAACAAGCAGTTGACCGCAACGCGCGACGTCGGCCATGGAGAAAGATCTGCGAAAGTGTATTCTACGTTTCTGCAGGAGTCCTCGCAGGATTTCTTGTTGATCTCGTGATGTCTCATTGGCATTTCCCAACAGACAACTCTGTGTCAGTACCGGAATGGACAGTCATCGACGATGGTCAACGGTTCCGCGCCTGGGCACCATCCGCTCAGTGCGGAGACACTCCGGAGAAAGCCATAGCTGCAGGCTGTATTTACGACGATGTTCTGCTGCATTGGATGCCACAAGCCTGTTCGTCCCCTGAGCTCATAGATGAGTTCGAACATGTGTGGCCGTGGGAATTTTTTGAAGATCAGAATGCGACGAGCCAAATATCCATCTCAGACGTGAGAAAGGGAACGCAGGACATCAAATGGGTTTCTATGGATTTACATCGTTGGCACTGCGTTGCAACCTGGAAAATTCTTAGTAGTGCAGCTCGATGGGGTACAACGGTGCCGGGTTATTCAGTGAACTGGAATCATTCTGTTCACTGCGCGGATCATGTACTGATCAATATGCACACGGACGACCCTTTCACGATAAACTCTCATCTTGATATCGAGTACACACCTTGTGTAACTATAGCGGAGGACAGAACGATTGCACGGGCGAAGACTTGGTAGATCAATGCGTACATGGTTCCCTCACAACATGGAAATCTCAACTGCAACCCCACTCCATATCGCTTTTCTCTAGAGTGCACAAACAACTCAACGTTTTGTTGTTTTTGACCCACTGATTTGCGTATTATACGGTTGCTTCAGGAATTGCAGTTATGGAATTATCTACAACTTTACTTGGAAGCGTGTGCGCACTTCTTCTCCGTATCTCTGTAACAAGACAGGCACCGGGCAAAACACCAATGCAATGAACCCTAGGAGGCTACTACCCCATCCAAGACCCAGATGATCAAACAGAGGTTCGCCTGCCAAAGGTAAAAATGTGCCGACAACACATCTGAAGATGGTTGCTGCTGCAATTGCTGACGCGGCATACTTGGTAAACGCATCAATAAGGTACGTATGCAGCGGCATCTACGTTTGAGTGAGAAACTTAGAGACAGTACGGTTGTGTTTGGACAAACCATTACTAAGATAAGTCCGACACCAAGGATGGCCGACCCAATTATGGGCAATATCCAGTGTAAGTGGTACTGAGCCGTCCATCCGTAGAAGAATAACCCAACGGGAGTTAGCAGAATAGACCGTGCCATCAGTGGCAGTCGGTATTCTGGCATGCGATTCCCATTATTTTTCTTAGTCCGAAGGTTGGCCATGCGATCGTTGAATATTCCGTTGCTGATGGCGCCTATGCTGAAGCCAACGCCTAACCCGAGGTAAACTAGGCCGACGGTTCCCGTTGTAAAGCCATACTCTGAAGTGAAGACGTTCGTAAACGTGGTGAGAAGGATGTACTAACACTTGGTGAGAAGCTTGAACCATCTAGCTGGAGTTTCATGACTTACAGTGTATCCGTATGCTAGCGCGAGAATGGTAGATAAAAGGAGAACAATAGGACTGAAAAAGAACATCTTTAGGGGGCGGACTAGCGCAATAAAGAGCAAAGTCGAGACTGGTGCAGCTGTCATCTGGCCAGGGACGACGAAATTGAGCTCCGGATGTTGTTTCTGGAGAGCAGCGGCTTTCTTTTGTAAGAGTCGCGGAGGATATGTCTCACGCAGCCCGAAAAAGGATATGACTGTAAACGCGCCGGACTTGTGCACATCATCCATGTTAACTACACAGGTCCAACAATAGAAGCTGAATTGCGACATACCGGAATGGCTGTCAGCCAAAAGATCCATCTCCATCCCAGGCCTTGAGTGATGTATCCAGCAGCCACGGGGCCAATGGCCGGACCAAGCATGGGCCCAACAAAGTAGACAGACACAACCACTCCACGACGCTCCGGTCGGATGAGGTCCGCAATGGTTCCACCGCCGATGGCTAGCGGAGCTGCGCCCGACGCGCCGGAGAGAAAGCGAAAGATTATGAGCGCCGCCAAGTTTGGTGATACCGCACTTAAGATGCTGAAGAGAGTGAACGTGACGTTGGAGATATGATACAAGACGGCTCTTCCGTATACCTCGGACAGAGGTGCAAATATTCTGGCATCATGTGAGACACATACGAAGAATGCGTAGCACTTTGATCAAACTCACATTGGGCCCACGGCGTAGCCTAAGATGAAAATGGATACGATGAATGATGATAATATCTGACTGTCGCTACGGAACTCTGCCATCATGTCTGGAACACCGGGAGCACACATGGCAGACGCCACGGACCTATGTCGCTGTGAGTGATGGCATCGTGACATGAATTCAAGGGCTGTGACTCTTACGCGATGAACGTGAGAACGCTAACAAGACCGACATTGATGAACTTGTCCAATGCGGGCCAGTTGATAGGTTTGCTCTTGTCGTCTTCCCCATCCCAATCAACGACGACGTTTCCTTGCTCGTCCTGTAGCTCAATGTTGACCTCTACGGCGCGCTTTTGGCGAATCTTTTCGCGAAACATCTTGGTATTCAATGAGATTTGCTGCGCCGAG